CCAATTCCTGAATTGACTTAAGGCCCAATCCATATACAACAATGCTTGGGTGAACAACCTAAAACTAGATAGCCCAGAGACAGAGTAAAAGCAAATAGTACTCTTCTTTAAAAAAAAAAAAAAGGAGGAGGAGGAGTGGGGAGGGGAGAAGAGGAGGAAAGGAAGAGAAGGAGGAGGGGGAGGGGAGAGGGGAAGGAAAAGAAGAAGGAGGAGGAGGAGGAGAGAAGGAGAGAAAAGGAGGGAGGGAGGGGAGGGAGGAGGGAAGGGAGGGAGAGAAACAAAGAAAACCATCAATAAAATGACTCCTAATTACATTCTGCTATACTCATAAATCAGTGCCTTGTTCAGCCATCATCAGAGATAACATCCCTGTGCAGAAGATGGGAACAAACACAGAGACTCACAGCCAGACATTGTATAGTGAGGGACCTTGAAACACTCTGAGACACTCAGTCCTAAACAGGACTTCTCCACCAAATTCCTCCCCTCAGGGCTCAGGGAAGATAAAGAAGAGGGAGGAAAAGTGTAAGAGTCAGAGGACACCAAAGGAAACCAGGCCCTCTAAAGCAACAGGAGCAATGCACATAGGAACCGAGACTGAGGCAGCATGCACGGGTCTGCACAGGTCTCAGCAGATGGGGTCCTACAGCTGAAAAGAGAAGTGGACACATGTCCCCATCCCTAACCCAGAAACCATCTCCAGTTGATAACCACTCACAAATGAAAATTTAGTTTCCTTCAAGAGAGTATCACGGGGGAAACAAACTACTCTTACAGGTGGCTGGCTGTATGTCCAGCAGTAGATGCACAAAAGAAAATGAACTCAAGGATATCTTTGAAGATTCCTTGACTCACAATGTGTATCAGGAATATTCTTTACTTTTTAAAATTTGATCCATTATTGTTTATCATCATTTTATCTTATTTATATTTTTCTTCTCTTTTTACCTTATAGATCATAATAACATTATATATAATATATAGTATTCCTATATAATATACATACATATATATTATGGCTTCCAGTTTAGTATTTTGATATAATTACCGAGAGTGTGAAGGAATGGGTCTCTATTCCTGAAGTTTGCTCAGTATAAATGAGCATGTAAGTTTTTGCTTTATCTTACTATATTTTATTATCATCCCATAGAAGCCTATCTGTTTTCTTTTTTGTTTTGATTTGCTCTTTGCTGTTATTGTTGTTGTTCCTTTGGGTTTTTGAGACAGAGTGTCTCTGTATAGCCCTGGCCATCCTAGGACTTGCTCTGTAGGCCACTAGACATAGGCTCTGAATAGAAGGTAAGATTGTAACTTTCTGCATTTCTTAGTAACTTTTAGGACTCAGGACTATATCAATACAATAGGGTACACTATTGTCTTATATTCTTTAAAAGAATTCTGTGAAAGTTACCTTACTTTGTATCCTACTGCAACATGTTATTCTGGCTTAACATAGATTTATGAAATTGGTCCATTTTTGCACATGTATATCCATTTCATCTTTATTTCTCTATTTTTAATTAGATTATATTGTAATGTATATGCCCATTCTCTTGATAGGTTGTTTCTAAATTTTTGCTATTGAAGAATGCTGTAATTAATAATTTGTTTCTTCATAACTACTTATGTGTATTTGGAAAGTATTATGTATGCTACATACTTTCTAGGAGTTTAGAGTTTATTTAATCATTTTTGAGAAGGCCTTACCATGTAGCCTGGGTAGTCTGTAACTCACTAGGTAGATTGTGCTAGCTTCAGCTTCACAGTGATCTGCCTGCTTCTGTCTCCCAGTGCTAGGATTAAAAGGTGCACATCGCCATGTCTGGCTTACTTTTATTATTTCTGATAAAGATAATATAGCATTAAAGAAAATTTAAAACAATACTTGTTAATACTAAATAAAATCATATTTATGCTTTTAATGTATTTATTTCTTCCCTATTTTCTATAATTCGCTCATCATTTAAATAATATTTGTAGTTTGGATTAAAATGTATTTCAAGTTAAACAATGATAGTTTGAGACTACAAATTCCTGAAAATCTGAGGCAAAGTGTATTTAGTCATATTTTGTTTTGGCACTTTGCCTTTATTATTAACTCTGGTTTCACTATTTATTTATTTTTTTTTTTAGTTAATTCCTTTTTACTACTAAGGTTTGACTATGTAGTCTTGGCTGGTCTGAAACACCCTATATATACCTGGCTGGCCTCAACTCATAGAGATCTGCCTGGCTCTGTCTCCCAAAGGCTTCTCGAGAAAAAAAAAAAAAGGAAAATGCTTTTATTTGGATAATTCATTAAGAATTTTATTTGATCTTTTCATAAAGTTGGTTATTTTACCCAAGGTTTAGAATGAACTTGTATGTATTTGTATGAGTATGTGTATGTCTCTGCGTGTGTATGTATGTGAGTGCATGCACACGTGCAAGTGCTTATGCATCCATAGAACATACAGTACACCAAGGCAGCGTCCTTGCTTTCATGTTTTTACCCATTTCCTCTTCCGACTTCATTTTAAGTTTGTTGGCTTCGTTTGTTCTTAAAGTGCTTTATCATTTTTTGGGCAGATAAGGCCTTAATTGTATTTAGATACGTATTTTAATATGAACTAGTTCATTATGCAGGTAAGGGGTAGGAATGAAAAGTCCTTTTGGTTTTATTTCTTTCATGACTTGAATTTGGTTGTCAAATTTGGATATGAGAATTATTTTTTGAAGTTTTCTTTTGTTTCTTGATTTTGCAGTAGCAAAACTTGTATCTGAGAGATCAGAAGGGTGACTACGGATGAATGCTTGTGCTGTGGACATGTCTCCTAACATTTGATTTAGCAGAAATCTGAAAGAGTTGGTGAGCACATTGGTTCATCATCAAATCTCAGAAACAGGCTTTTGGTATGTTGTTGGCTCTTTAATTACAAACTCACCAAAGAATTTTTTTTTAATTTAACCATATGGAATTTATTTCAGAATTATAAGATAGGTTTGATATTTTTTATTATTAAAAATCACTTTATCATAAAACATCACACAGTTAGATTAAGGTAGTCACACAAACATTTGCCCAGCCACCGATGCTACCTCACAGTGAAGCAGAATGAGAATGGCCAGGCGAAAACGACGGAGGTTTGTTCTGGGCTTTGTTTTCGCTGTGAAATGCAAGTTTATGCACTTGTTCTCTGACCTCGCCCAGTATCTGTTTCTAAACTATCTTCTCCCTGACAATTCAGGTTCTGTTAGGGTAGGATTTTGTCTGGCTTTGTTCACGTTATCAACATTACCTAGACACAAATGTAGAGCTAGACACAAATGAGCTGCAAGAGTTGTGAATTCAGCCTACACGTACTTTAAGATCTTATAATGAGCATGTATAGTATTCCGTTTCATTACAGCCTTTTCAAACAAAATGTTCCTTTTTTCTCCTGGGCTCTTATCGTCTACTCCCACCCCTTCCTTACACTCTTCTGCCCACTCCCTACAGCTTCCTTGTCCTACTGGTCTCCCCTCACTCCTCCACACCTCTCTGTCTCTCCTGTGGACTTCTTTCTAGTTTCATAGCCTTTGCAGTTTTATAATAAAATGTCTCAAAAACAGTATTAAGCATTTTTTGGTCTTACCAAGCACCACATTAGAATAAACCCCTTCAAAATAGTAAGCTCATTTTAAAGGTCTTTAATACATACTGATAACCCTCTGAAGGGGTGGCCCACACAGATTTATGCTACAGTGGTTGTGTGTCAAAAATCAGATTTTCTTGTAGATCAGTGCCAATGTCTCTTTGAACCTAACTGCTTGTGGTGGTTTTAATGAAAATGGCCCCCACAGATTCATAAGAAAGTCATTATTGGCCGTGTGGCCTTGGAGTAGATGTGGCCTTATTAGAAGAAGTGTGTCACTGGGGATGAGCTTTAAAATTTCAGATTCTCAAGCCAGGCCCAGTGCCACTCTCTCTTCCAGCCAAGTGCCGCCTGCCAATCCAGAAGAACTCTCAACTACCTCTCCAGCACCATGTCTGCCTCCATGCCTTCATGCTTCCTGCCAAGACAATAATGACCTAAACCTCTAAACTGTAAATAAGCCACTCCAATTAAGTGCTTTCCTTTATAAAAGTTGCCATGGCCATGGTGTCTCTTCACAACAATAAAACATTTAGCAAGTAAAACATGCATTAATTTATTCAGTAATTTTGTATTTATATCCCATACAACTATGGAATGCTGCTGTTATTCCTCAAATAAACCGTACTGCTAGAGCTTGTGGACTGGAAGTCATTAGTAACACCTCAGTACAACTTTACTGGACCCGACCTGGGCCAAGGACCTTACTCCCCTTCAGCTCTACAGCCTCACTGAGAAGTCTCTAGGTGGGAAAAGGGCCACGACCTAGCATGGATCAGCTAAAGAGCAGACCTTAGACCTTCAATTCTAAAGTCACATTTAGAGGACACCTGAACATTTCACCTTCTTGCACAGAGGGAATAAGTTTATCTGTTGCAATATTTCTGATCATATAACCAAAGAAAGAGCAAGCAAAACAATTAACAAATCATTTAAAACTATAAAGAAAGAATATATCTGAAAGAGGTATACCATTATCAGCCTTTGAGAAAACACTGGGCAATCAACCAGAAACTATCCTGCAACCAAAGACCTCAGAACTTTCACCATCAACCAAGTGTCAGGAGAGTAATCAACAGAGCCAGCCAGTAGCAGTTCCTGCAGTGCACAGGCAGGAGCAGCAGGAGCAGGCAGGCCACAGCTATCCCAGTACAGATGTAGAGGGCCACAGGCAAGATACATTGTGACCCCTCCAGGAGGAGGGACCTACACTCCTGCAGCTCCGCAGGCAGTGCACTGACAACAGGACTTACTACAGGACTCGTGGAAGTTCAGCATGGTCCTTTCCATAAGTTCAATGATGCACAAAAATGCCATATAAAAAATACAGTCAACTTTGATATACTAAGCATTAAATAATATAGCATAACTATAGAAGTATTTTACCAGAGGAGCCCAGTAGGTGTAGAGGTAGCCAATTTTCAATGCTGGCACAAACTGTGAGCAGGACACTACCAGAAAATAAAGATTCAAGAAAAACTTGAATTGTTCATACAAAACCTAAAAAGGAATAAAGAAATTAGCAAAATCCCCTCAACAAAAATGTATTAATACTTCAACCAATAGTTAAACTCAACAAAGCATTCAAACACATTTCCATCATTGAAAGTATGCTGATTCAGAGTAAATTACTTCTGACATTAGCTTTCAAAAGGTATGCTAAGATTACTCTAATTGTAAGATATAGTTTTAAATATAATTAGGACTTTCAACTATATTAAAAGTACACTTCCTTAGAAATTTTTTTGCATGAAATCTACATTGTTCACACACACACATCACAGCAGATGACACTCTTCTGCTTTAAATGAGCACACAGATAATATCTGAGTACCAACAAGTCTTAAAAAGCTCTTAAAAAGGAAAACTCTAAATGTCCAATATTTATGAAACAGGAGAATATAATAGATACATACACACACACATGAAATATAATACCAGTGTGCTTTTCAGCAGACACTGAGCCTTACAAACATATAATGAACAAGTCAATAGATCCAAACATGACTAAGGATATTTGACTTACTAGCTCTCAGAATAGAAAAACCATTCATATGAACATATGTAAATAACAGACCAGTTTTCAGAGGACAGCAGCCTACATCTGCTTTAGTGTCTTTTAGTACTTGATTTGTTAAATTATTTTCAAACATAAAATAAATTTCATCATTTAATACATTTTAAGATTACTAAAACTGATGAAAGGTTTTGCTACTTTGCTCATTTTAGTTTTCTTTTCCTCTTTTTAATCCAGAAAAAGTCTTCTGGAGCTGAAGACAATAGCTCAGCAGCAGGCTAGCACATATGAGGCCCTATATTTAATCATGACATAGCAAAAAACAAAACTAAAAAATAATTTTAAAAACAAGCAACTGGAGTTATTGTTAACAGAATAATTTTAGGCATGCACAGTTATGCACAACTTTAATCACAGCACTTAGGAGACAGAGACAGGTGGATCTCTGAAAGTTGGAGGCCAACCTGGTCTACATAGTAAATTCTAGGATGGCCAGGGCTACATAAAGAAACCCTGTATCAAAAAAAAAAATGAAAAGAAAGAAAAAATAATCCAAATAACAATATTTTCAGTTAAGCTTACAAAGCTGTAAAGCCATTCCTTGTGTCAGGTGTAAGACCCAGCAATTTCTACAAGAGAACAATGGGGTAAATGGCTACTGTGCCTTAAAGAGCTAGAGCCAGTTTGTACACACGGAAGCTACCTGCATCGTCATACAATTCTGAGTGTAACAAAGAGTTATACTCAATATGTTTATATCCATAATCATGCTCAATTGCTGTCTAAAAATGTTTTGAATTATTTCATAAACTAATCTCAGCAGGAAAGAAAGCTCTTTTTCTTCGGCAATTTCTGTAAAATCTCAACACAAATTATATCTATTAGCAATTCAGAAATTGCCATTTGTGCTAAAAATGGCATAGAATTCCTACTGTGTAATTACTAAATGTTTCTGAAATACTACGTTTTAGATGAAAAGACTAATTCCCGAGACTTGCTAAAGAAGAAAATCATGCCCACAGTAACCAAGCACTGTGCAGAGCCATCAACAGGTATTCTCAGGATGCAGCCAATGGCTGTGGGAATTTATACTCCTCAAAGTTGAGCTACACTACTGGCTTTAACTATGACCAATACTTTACAATATCCTCCGTGACCAGTGACCGTTAGGATAATGTACCATCTTAGACACTTTGCATTTAGTACTTTATACTTAAGGAGAAAACAGTGATTTTGTTCCAAAAAATGAGAATATCTGACTCAAAATGGTTTACATTTTATTGTTAGGATAAAAAGTTACTCTGTTGATTATGGAGTCATTAATCTCATGTTTTAATAAAGAAGCACATTAGATATCAAGTCTATTAGTGAATGGTTGGGGACTGGGGTAGAAAAGACAATTGCAGTCTAAAAGAAACTTAGCATAGTTAGTTGAATAAACGTATAAGACAGAGCATTTCTTACAAAACAGAGTAAGAACCAACAGCTAAACTTTGTCAACACTTTTGTTACAGAAATGTAAGATACACGATTGATTTTTTTCTACAGATCAATCACGTTGATTTATCTCCAAAGAATCAACGATTAGAAAGAAAACAAATTCCTGTAGAATAAAAAAGACTCATAATCCATCAGTTGCCTTTATGCTCATAAAGAAACATGAACCTATTAAAACAAGGAACTGATTTACCTCACTCTGGATAGTGTTTTCTATTTCCATCCATTTGCATGCAAAATTCAAGAAGTCCTTGTTTTTTACTGCTGAGTAGTACTCTAATATGTATATATTCCATACTTTCTTCATCCATTCTTCCATTGAAGGGCACCTAGGTTGTTTCCAAGTTCTGGCTATTACAAACAATGCTGCTATGAACATAGTAGAGCATATACTTTTGTTGTATGATAAGGCCTCTCTTGGGTATATTCCCAAGAGTGGTATTGCTGGGTCCAGGGGTAAGTTGATCCCAAATTTTCTGAGAAACCACCACACTGCTTTCCAAAGTGGTTGCACAAGTTTGCATTCCCACTAGCAATGGATGAGTGTACCCCTTTCTCTGCAACCTCTCCAGCAAAGGCTATCATTGGTGTTTTTTATTTTAGCCATTCTGACAGGTGTAAGATGGTATCTTAAAGTTGTCTGGATTTGCATTTCCCTGATCGCTAAGGAAGTTGAGCATGACCTTAAGTGTCTTTTGGCCATTTGAACTTCATCTGTTGAGAATTCTCTGTTCAGCTCAGTGCCCCATTTATAGTTGGGTTGATTAGCCTTTTACGGTCTAGTTTCTTGAGTTCTTTATATAGTTTGGAGATCAAACCTTTGTCAGTTGCGGGGTTGGTGAAGATCTTCTCCCAGTAAGTGGGTTGTCTTTTTGTCTTAGTGACAGTGTCCTTTGCTTTACAGAAGCTTCTCAGTCTCAGGAGGTCCCATTTAAGAAGACCCAAAATAAAGAACATGGGATGTACTCACTCATATTTAGTTTCTAGCCATAAATAAAGGACATTGAGCCTATATTTAGTGATCCTAGAGAAGCTAAATAAGAAGGAGAACCCAAAGAAAAACAATATAGGCATCCTCCTGAATATTAACCTTCATCAGGCGATGAAAGGAGACAGAGACAGAGACCCACACTGGAGCACCGGAAAGAAATCTCAAGGTCCAAATCAGGAGCAGAAGGAGACAGAGCATCAGCAAGGAACTCAGGACCACGAGGGGTGCACCCACACACTGAGACAATAGGGATGTTCTATCGGGAACTCACCAAGGCCAGCTGGCCTGGGTCTGAAAAGGCCTGGGATAAAACCGGACTCGCTGAACATAGCGGACAATGAGGACTACTGAGAACTCAAGAACAATGGCAATGGGTTTTTGATCCTACTGCACATACTGGCTTTGTGGGAGCCTAGGCAGTTTGGATGCTCACCTTACTAGACCTGGATGGAGGTGGGTGGTCCTTGGACTTCCCACAGGTCAGGGAACCCTGATTGCTCTTTGGGCTGACGAGGGAGGGGGACTTGATTGGGGGAGGGGAAGGGAAATGGGAGGCGGTGGCGGGGAAGAGACAGAAATCTTTAATAAATAAATAAATAAGAAAAGAAAGATGAAAAAAACTGATATAAAGCAGAAATCAATCCACTATTCCAAATTCATGATAAAACTAGTTTTATAATGTAATCAAAAGCATTAATAACAAAAAGGATTAAGATATTTAAACTTCAGATTTTAAATTTAACAATATATTCAACTACCAATAACTAATGAGTTAACAATGTAACGAGGCCTGAGAATAACAGCTTGAATATAGAAAGGGCATCTATAAATAAATACATAGAAATACTTTGTTTATATGAACAAATTGTGTATTTCCTTTATAAATTCCTTGGCAGACTTCAACACTACATTCTACTTTTCATTCCAAACAAATTTCAAGTGTCCCCAAAATTATGTGCTTCCTGATCATTTACGTTTTTTTAGTATTTCTATTCTTTTGTATTCCTATAACATAAATGTTTATCAAGAACTGAAAGCAAGAACCAAACTGTGCATTTTTTAAAGTAGACAGAGCTAGAAAAATGCAAAAAAAAAAAAGTCTTAAGTCATCATTTGAAATGGAAAGGTGTGAAATGGGAAGATGCTGGCGTGGACAGTGACATCAGCCAGCAGTCTCTCCATGTATCGGCAGAAAGCAAAGAAAGGTAGCAAGCTCAGACATACAATTGACATTGAAGATGTAATTATCTTACCCCAGGTATAAAGGTGAATACATTGTATTTCTGATTTTTTATAGAATTCCTAGGATGTTTTTCTTCACACTTCTCTGGACATCCAAGCCATACTGTTCGAGCTTTCAGTTCTTTCTTCCTTTGACAAACATTTATCAGCCAATCACAGCAACTGCATGAAACAAAAAATATAGCTATACGATGTATGCCTTTTTAAAAAAGTCCAATTTAATTCTACAAGTTTAGAGTCAAAACTGATTGTATTCCTTGGTGATTATCTAATGCTGATGTCATTACTGCATGCCTCTTAACATCCTATTACAAAGTCACAATTTTTGAATGTTGACTCTGGTCCAAGAAGACCTACACTGACAATCCAATACAGAATACAGTAGCCACCAATGGGCATTTTAATTTTAATTAATTTAAATGACAACTCAGATTTTTTTTTGAGCAGAACATCTTTTTTAATATTTATTATGTATACAATATTCTGTCTGTGTGTATGCCTGCAGGCCAGAAGAGGGTACCAGACCCCATTACAGATGGCTGTGAGCCACTATGTGGTTGCTGGGAATTGAACTCAAGACCTTTGGAAGAGCATGCAATGCTCTTAACCTCTGAGCCATCTCTCCAGCCCCAACAACTCAGATCTTCAGCTATACTTCAAGAGTTTAACAGCCACCGCGGTTAGCAGCTTCCATGGAACATTAGAGATCAGATGCTCCCACTTGATGGAGGAAGGTCATTGGCTAATAAAGGAACTGCCCTGGCCCATTTTATTGGTTAGAGGATAGGTGGAAGGAGAAAACAGGACAGAACACTGGGAGGAAGAGGAAGTGAGGTCAGAGACTCCACAGCTCTCTCGGGAGCAGACACCTCAGAGAGAGACGCCATGCCCCGCTCCCGGGATGAAGCTCCGACCCAGGATGGACTAGGCTAGAATCTCCCTGGTAAGCGCACCTTGGGGTGCTACATACAGATGATTAGAAATGGGCTAAATTAATATGTGAGAATTAGCCTAGAAGAGAATGGGCCAAGCAGTGATTAAATGAATACAGTTTGTGTGTTGTTATTTCGGGGCATAAGCTAGCCATGTATGCAGCCGGGGTGCTGGGAATGCAGCCCCGCCGCCCTTATTACTACAGTTGGCGCCCAGACGTGTGGACAGCCGAAACCCACTTAAAAAACCTGAGAAGGCTTAAAAATAAGGGAGCGAGAGTTTAACACAGATTTTTGGTGTTTGTTGGTGGTGTGCTGTAGAGAGATTTTCTGATTCGGCAACAGTAGCAGAAAAAACGCTGTGTCATTTTAAAGCGTGACTTCCTGGGGCTATGCCGCCATTGCAATCTCTGTCTGGCTCCTGCGGGAGACAGAGCTTTTGAATAGAGCATTTGGAGTAAAGTGCTACGATTAGTTTGATGGCAAATAGACTTGCTGTGTTCTCGGGTCTGCTCTGCTTGCCAGAGGCAAGCAAGCACCTCATCTAAGAGAGGCTTCCTGACTCAGCTTTAGCTGCAAAGCCTGCAGCTCATTAAGAGGTCCTGCCACGAAATACTTAAATGGTGTTGACGAAAAGCTGAACGCATGCTTTTCGGTTTTCAGTTGTAGCAGGAAAAAAGCTGCGCCGTTTAAAAATGCCAGCTTTCTGGGCTGTCCTGCTAGGACAAACTCTGACTCTTTTACGCAGGTGGTTTGTGCAGTTTGCAAGCACAGGCTGCTGAAGCTCGCTTGCTGGCTACAGCCAGTACCTCAGCCATGAGGCTGGAAAGCTAAGGAATGGGCTGGATCCAGCTGGCAAAGCCATGCCTTTAATCCTACTGAGATTGCTTGGTAAATTAAAGATTCATGTGGTCAGAAAAAGAGAGATATACAGTAAAGAGAGATTCAAAGACAGAGAAAATTTCTGAATGGTTTAAAGTGTGTTAAAAATATATGCAGACTAAAAGTTGAAGTTCTTAAAGTAAAAAACAAAAAAAAAAGGAAGAGAGTTGTTGTGTGTGGTAGCACATGCCTTTAATCCCAGTGCCTAGAAGGCAGAGACAAACAGATCTCTGTGAGTTCAAGGTGTAGTAGTGTACACCTTTAATCCCGAATGCCTGGGAGGCAGAGACAGGCGGATCTCTGAGAGTTCAAAGACAGCCTGGTTTACAGAGTTACTTCAGGTCAAAGATACAGAGAACCTGTCTCAAAAATCAAAGAGTTAAAAGTAAAAATAAAGAAAATAGAGGTTAAAACAAAGCTGTACAAAGATGGAAAATAGACAGAAAATTTTGATACTGTATGCTCTTATGCTCTCTTTAAATTATTTAAACGCTGAGGAAGGAGCAACAGATGCTAAAAGATATTTATTTATAAATGCTGAACTAATCCAACATAGATATTTTGATGCCTTGGCTTTGAAATTTGGATCTAAGGACATGATGCTTTGGAAAGGAGTTTCTTATTTTGTTTTCACGGAGGATGAGACGCTGTTCATTTCTTCTATTCCGATTTGGTATGATGGACCACGTCCTCCTGAATGGTTCCTGCGCACGCCTTCAAAAAATTGCTTCGCTCAACTGCCAACTGAGATGAAACTAGCACACAGGTTATACCACGAAAGACCTAATTAACAACGCCCCCATTCAGCAGGAAGCAGTTTGGAGAGAAATAACTGCGCCCATATTCCCAAATAATGTTTATAAATGTTCTTTTACATTTAAAGGGGGATATGATATAGATATGAATAATTTACATTAGTATAGATTTTGCTTTATTGATAGAGATTTAAGGTCAATTTTGTTATATGTATAAGTGTTTCTGATTTTGATTAAGGTATTGTGATTGTGTAGTTCATTTAAATATGTACTGTATAATTAAGAAATATAGGTTGTTAATGGATAATCATCGATAATAGTAAAGCTTGTAGTCATGTTAGTTAGATTTTCTAGATATATAGAGATATATTTTAGATAGACATTCTTCATGTCTTTCAAAGATTACAGAATAGGACATTTAATGTTTTAATAACTGAGGACTTTTCATGACAATGAGACACTCTGCTCCTGGCAGCACCAATCTACTTCAAGAGGAAGATGGGCATCGAAGAGGCTCGTTATGGAGTTTGATAGCCATTTGGGCAAGAAACTGCCTGGACTATTGCATAAACTGGACACAGAGAACCCGCAGAGAGAGGACTACTGAACTTGCCTAAAGGTAAGATGATCTTTCGGGGTTCCTGATTCGTGAAGGAGTCTGCAAGACATTCTGCAGGACACAACAGATAGTGACTGAACAGACTTTGAATTTTCCTGCTTCACGGAAATGTCTGCTGGATACTATGGGCCTGAAGGCTGAAGATTGATGCCCCAACGGTACAAAAGAACTTTGGGTGACTGTACAGGCAGCGAGATGTCTCTGTCATTTCTAGAATTTTGGACTTCTTGTTTACTTAGGTAATATTATATCTTTCTGGAGTCTTCGATGGAGTTAAGAATAGTTAGTTATAGTTTTCCTCAGTTATGATAAAGATTATTGTAATTTTTACTTGATAAATGTTTTGTTATATGTAATTTTGCTATGTTAAAGTTAAAGCTTTTTTTTTAAACCAAAAAAGGGGAAATGATGGAGGAAGGTCATTGGCTAATAAAGGAACTGCCCTGGCCCATTTTATTGATTAGAGGATAGGTGGGAGGAGAAAACAGGACAGAACACTGGGAGGAAGAGGAAGTGAGGTCAGAGACTCCACAGCTCTCTCGGGAGCAGACGCCTCAGAGAGAGACGCCATGCCCCGCTCCCGGGATGAAGCTCCGACCCAGGATGGACTAGGCTAGAATCTCCCCGGTAAGCGCACCTTGGGGTGCTACACACAGATGATTAGAAATGGGCTAAATTAATATGTGAGAATTAGCCTAGAAGAGAATGGGCCAAGCAGTGATTAAATGAATACAGTTTGTGTGTTGTTATTTCGGGGCATAAGCTAGCCATGTATGCGGCCGGGGTGCTGGGAATGCAGCCCCGCCGCCCTTATTACTACACCCACTACTACAGTGAGTCCTACAGGACACCACTTGTCATAAACAAACCAACTAGGGTCAGGTACCTCGAGCAAATACAGCTACTTATGAACACATTTCTTTTCAGCATTCAAAATGCAGCAGTAATTCCTCAAAATTGCACTGTTAAAAAGCTTTGTTCTTCAACAAATAATCTGATATGTAAATACACAGAGACAGAGCTAAGTTAAAACAGTAAATTCATAAGACTAAGCATTTGAAAACTACATTACAAATTTAGGAAACGTGTTACTGCTAATTATATCATTGCACACAGACAGAATTATAAAGTTGTTAGAGAGCAACTATCAAGTCCCATACTACTACACAGAACTGAATAAATCTATTCATGATGGGTTGGAAGTGTCCTGACAAATCCTACTCGGTCATATAGACAGACCACAAAGACCGTCAAAGAGAAAAGGTAGGTGACTTTGGTGCTCAGAGGAAAGGGCATATGACTATACATACATATATATATATATATATATATATATATATATATATATATATATCCTCCAATAGCTGAGTATGATGAGTTACACTTGTAATCCTAGTCCTTTGGAGGAAGACTGACACTAAAGGATAAACCAAACAGTGCAACATAGTGTGTTCTAGGCCAGCTTGTGCTATACTGTGAAACTCTAAATCCTAAATACCTAATCCCACCAAAAAAACTATGTGTGAACCTTACTGACTGGTAGAACTAAGGGAAAAAAATTAAATTGTGGGGAAAATTTTTAGGGCAAAGTAATGTAAGTAAAACATCAGAGAACAAACACTGAAAAATACGAGGGACAAGAAAAGAGAAATCTTGAGGGTAATGATGGCACACACCTTTAATCCTAGCACTGGGGAAGGGGGCTAGAGGCAGGCAGATCTCCGAGTTTGAGACCAGCCTAGTCTACAGAGTTAGTTCCAGGAAGCCAGGTATACACAGAGAAACCCTACCTCAAAAAACCAGAGGGGAGGGTCCTCTAGAAGAGGTAACTGAATATTTCCTTAATAATATTTCTATGTATCCGAAATAAGTATAAAGAGAACACTTTCAGATTTGACAGCATAAGGCATTGTATAAATCTAGTAAGTAAATCCAATAATATACAAATTATACTTTTCCTTAAAATGTTTTATGATCAGCTTTTCACAAATGCCTCTACAATCAAAGCAATCTTCTAGCATTAAGTAAAATATATTTACATATCAAGAATCTTTTAGAATTTTATTCATAATGAAATTCTCAAAATAGACCAGTTCTTTCCCATTATTTCCCACAACTTAGACTATTCTATCTAATTGCAAGCATCTTTGGTTACCATGACCAAAACAACATAGTATTCATGTCATCTTGCAAGATGAGCATTTTCCCATGCTTCTGCACCCCAAATGTTTTACAGATTAACTCAAAGCCATTTAGAACCAGGAATAAGCCCAGCATCTGATATCCCCCTTCTCCTCCCTTCATATGGAAATGCAATTCCTGGCTCCAGTTTTCTAGGGACAAAGTGATTTTTGATAACGAGTGAAATGTAAATCTCGTGAGAAAGATCATCAGCCCAGATCAAAGAAAGAGATAGATCAATACATCAATGTCCCACACTGCATCTACAGGAAGCAGCATTCACTCTCACGACATAAAGCCAAATTGAAAAAAAATAGCAATAATAAACATTTCAGCAAGAAATATCTAAGTCTTCAGGTTAGAAATTCTGCCAAACAACAAATCTGAAAAAAATAAAATAAAAAAAATAAAACAGTTTGCAGTCATAAAGTACTGAGTAGGTGATACTAAAAGTAATTTTAAAATGAGCCTTAACCACTCACAGGATGAATAAGCAATAATGTATTAAAACACTACAACTCACTAATCTTAGTTCTAACCTAACTGTACTGAAATAGTCACTAAAATTTTCTTCCTGCAATTAATATTATCCATCTGCTATGAGAACCACCATAAATAGCCACAAAAATTCTGAATGCAAGAATGCTTGGCATTTAGAAAACAAAGCAACAAACATTCAAAACTGAAAATATATAAGGAATAACGAATTAGGTCCATGCTGATTGCTAAATATATAAGGACTCTCTAAGTACAGTGTTTAATTTCTACCATTTCTCTATAGAGGAGACCCCAACCAAACCACAGGATTGTAAGGATCTCAGGTTACACGTTCCACAAGACAATGGGACATGCATTAACACCATATCCACTATCAACCTACTCTAGATGGTTCTATTAGCTTTTCCCATGGGATCACAACTTATTCATATAAAGTATTCATTTATAAACACATCTTTAGATTTTATTGAGCTGTTTCACTATCCTTAAACCTGGGTCCTTTTGGTATTGACATAAACATTTTAAAATATATTCTTAATATTTTCCATGAAGAAAGAACCATATTACAAATAAAAACTAAAACACAGCTATATATTCCATTTAAAAACAAAAGTCATAAAAGATTAAAAAAATCAAAACATTGGTTTACTAGTGTATTTACCACTATGTTAAAGCAGAGTGCTCAGGCCTCTGTCTTCTTCAGAACCAGAGAGAACCAGTACTCAGACCTCCAGTTTCTGTGGGAGCAAAGAGTACCCTGAAACCAGGACTTCAGTCCAGTGGTCTCAAAAGGTCAATGCATTGCCCAAGCTTCAGATTCGGTATGCCCAGGGTCCCCTGGGAGTCTGGAACATTGATTTCAGTGATCTCTGACATCACTATGGGAATGAGTTTCTCATCTCTGAGGTTCCAGTGGTCACTGCAGGAACCAGAATCTGTACACTGCTGTGGTCCCAGAGGTTTCTTTGGACCTGTGGTTCTAACTATCATCCCCAGAGAATAGACAGATTCACTGGGCATAAAGTTTTTTATTCTGTCTCCATCAAGGGCACAGAATCCAAATGGTGACCCAGGTTTTCATTCAATCTGGTCACCTTGGTGTTAAGTATTCAGTCCCATCCTTGGTCCTGTTAGCATATAGCCAAGAGAGGACCACGTTAGGAATCTATACCATAATCAATACCAAGTTTTATCAGTCTCCCTAGATTAGCGTTGTGCAGAAGAGAATATCTCAAAGGGTTTGAAGGAAGTCAAACCAAACCCACTCCAAAGGACTCATAAAACATGACAAAATCAACACAAAACATATGACATAACCACCACCCAGCCCATCACCAACTGACCAACTCCTGTAGATGGAAATCCAAAATTGGAGAGCTGAAATGTCTGAGAAAGAATTTAGTCTTATTGTTCAAAGAATTATCTTATCAAACATGCATGAATTAAGAAAATCTGTCCAAGACCTTTACAAGACAATCTCCAAAGTAAACACAACAATTATTAGATTGAAACTGAAGTTCAAAAGAGAGGAAAAATAAGACTGAAACACTGAAAAACAGAAATAACTGAAATAAAGGAGAGAGATAACCAATGAAATAAAAACCACAACAGATACTATAAGTAACAGACAAGACCAAGAAGACCAACAAATTTCGGAAAGGGAGGACAAAGAAATACAGATATACATACATACATACATACATGCATATATACCATGTATGTATGTAAGGGGGGAAACGAAAACAAGGAACAAGAATGCTACGTCTAAGTAGTACGTGGTGCATTCAAGAGGCTAAACCTGAGAATTTATGAAACTGAAGAAAAATTGAATGGATAAAATCCCAGATAAAATCAAGAGCAGAAAGGCATACCACCTAGATGCTACACAAGGATCCCAAGGATTAAGGGAAATGGACCATAAAGAATACTGCTCAAAAATAGACGGCGTTGAATATGGGCTTAAAAATATACAAAGTATTGTAATAATGGTAAATTTAATTTGGTTACCGGAGTGTGACTGCATAAGAAAATACTTTTTTCTTAAGAATAAGAATATTAAGGGGAGTGGGGGAGAAAAGGGAGAAGGGGAGGATGGGGAATGGAATGCTTGGGATGGAGGAAGGGTGGATATGGGAGCAGGGAAGTAGATATCTTATTAAGGGAGCCATTTTAGGGTTGGCAAGAGACTTGACTCTAGAGGGGTTCCCAGGTGTCCAAGGAGATGTGCCCAGCTTGTTCCTTGGGCAGCTGAGGAGAGGGCGCCTGAACTGGCCCTATCCTATAGCCACACTGATGAATATCTTGCATATCACCATAGAATTATGTTTTCCCTTTCAGACCCACTTGCTCTGATGTGGACAATGTTGTCAAAACACTCCATGATGGTGCATTTTCTTTGGCTTTCATACCAACATAGATTGACACAGCTTACAAACACTCTAGCCACTAAATGTCTATCCATACTCTTCATGTACACACTAATCAGGTAGTAACAGAAGACGAACCTGGTACAGAGGAATTTCCATCCACCACACACAAACCACTCTAGTCCTCTTTTTCTCCGTGTTATCCTAGCTCGGGGTAAAGTGTGGTAATCACTTTCATCATTCTCAAAGCCTTCTTCAGACATCATCAGTGGCATTTCATCCAAATGGGCAGATTCATCCTCCAGCTGGTACCTAAAGGGAAAACAGAGAGCTAAGCAGTCTTGTTACTGTATGTTTCTAGAATAGTATCAGGCTAAATTTTATAAATCCCCTGTGGTGGTTTGAATGTGAATGGCCTTCAAAGGCTCATGTTTGAATGTTTTGTCCCTTTTTGGTTGAACTGTTTGGGAAAGGTTAGGGGGTGTGGCCTTGTTGCATGAGATGTGTCACTGGGAGTGTGGTCTGAGGTTTCAAAAGACCATTCCAGGCCCAATCAATCTCTCTCCTGCCCTCCTTCTATCCCTCCCTCCCTCCAACCTGCAGATCAGACATAAGCTCTCAGCTACTGCTCCAGCACCATGCCTGCCTGACTGCTGTGCTCCTTGCCATTATGACCACAGACGAATGGACTCACCCTCTGAAACCATAATCAAGCTTTTATAAGCTGCCTTGGTCATGCTGTCTCTCTCTTCACGGAAAAAGAAAAATAACTAAGATATCATCTTCTGTTTTTCTCAAAACTATGTTACCTTCACCTGAGGCAAACCATTGTTAAAAGCAAACAAACTACTACATAATGATATAAATTCCCTTTGCAAAAGAACAACAAGAACAAAAAACTTGATACAAGGTAAGTTAGGGAATAGTAAATATAATTCAATATATAGATATAGGCAAGTACTCTATATAACAAGGGAAACAGCCTCAAGAATAGTGAGAAGATGAAACCTTAAAAGTTTCTGCTCAGCAAAGAAAAGCAATAGAAGTGAACACAGCCTACAGGATGAGCTCACTTTCCAGCTCCATTACAGACAGGGTTGTCTAGACTATATAAAGAAATCACACACACACACACACACACACACACACACACACACACAGAAAGAGAGAGCTGACAGTTGACAAATAAGCTTACAAAATGAACACATCATCCTCAAAAACAGACACATAATGCCCTGTATATATTTAAATGTTAGCCACTCAAAATTACTTCACAATCCCATCTCCCTGCAGTCAGGATGACATAAGAAAAGGTAAAACAAACGCTGTGAAGGATGTGGGACAGTGCAGGAAACTGTACTCATGGCTGGAGGAGTGAAAACTCATTCAGCTATTACAGAAATTACTGTGCATATATGGTGTAGGAGTTCTTTCTGTTTGTGTGTTGCTTTCATTGGTTAATGAATAAAGAAACTCCCTTGACCTAGTTGATAGGGTAGAACTTAGGTAGGCGGGGAAAATTAAACAGAATGCTGGGAGGAAAAAGGCAGAGTCAGAGAGCCGCCATAGAGCTGCCAGAGTCAGACATGCTGTATCTTTCCCAGTAAGCCACTGGCACATGAAGATACACAGATTAATAGAAATGGGTTAAATTAAGATGTAAGAATTAGCCAATAAGAAACTAGAGCTAATGGGCCAAGCAGTGTTTTAATGAATACAGTTTCTGTGTGATTATTTCAGGTGTAAGCTAGCCAGCGGCCAGGGCAAACAAGCCACCTCTCCTCGTAACACATGTATACTACAGTAGAATTTATTTCAGCTGCAAAAGAAAAAAAAACTGGCAAGAAAAATGCATGGAATGGAAAGTATTATAGCACGAGACAGCTCAGATAAAAACTGCATGTTCTCTATGTAAGCGGATGCAGTATGGAGGCTATCCTGCTAGAAGGTGGACCGCAAGAGGAGGAAAAGGTGCTGAGGAGGGGAAGAGAGTAACAGGAGACATCAAAGTGGGAAGAGACTAAGTAGAAGGGAATGAATGGAGGACAGAGGAGTAGGAAGAATCTTCCAAACTGTTTGAAAACACTAATTTTAAAATGTTACAGAGTATTAGGTGGGACCCACAAGGTGAAGTAAACCATTACTAAAGGAACAAAGACTCCAGGATAATGTGGGGTGCTCAGTGCTCTGACCCTCTGCAGCCACTGCATTCTTGTCAATCGTCCAGTTTCACAGCTTCTTCAGCAGATGTGCCTTTACATTTCTTCTGGAAACTTTAGTTCATGCCAGATAGAATGCTATTCCAACAAAACAAAGCATTCTCAGATAAAGGAAAGCCAAGACAACATTTTGTCTGCAGCTCCACCCTATAAGAACGCTAAGCAAAGTTCCAAAATAAAAATAGTATCCAAAGGAAAATGAGAACTATAAAATCAAGAACAACAAGAGAAGTTCTTTAGGAATATGCAGGACTAAATGTAAAAATGGCAGCACTGTGTAGTTAAATTTCCAACGTCAAAACGCGAAGACAACTGGTAAAAGTAGAATAAGAAGGAACAAAGGTCCTCTAGTTTTACACAAGGTATTAGCAGACACTGCTCAAGGAACACTGTTAATGATGGCTACTGCAACCCTCAGAGTGGGGCTTCTCAACAGGGGCATAATTTACATTGTGATCACATATCCTTACTGTGAAGTGTTGTTCTGTGCATACAGAATGTTCTAGAGTATCCCTAGTTCTAGGTCCTAAATCCAGCAGCATCACCCCTTGTGGAGACAATAAAAATGCCCCAACAATGTCTTTGTGTAGTGCCAAAAAACTTCTGGAGTACAAAAATCACTTCCTCAAGGAAGAACCTTAAATACAGGAATATGTAGTGTTAAAAAATTAAAAAACAGTGAAAAAGACATAACATGAAGACTACTCAAAAGAAAGCTAAATAGCTGTACTAAGACAACTAAAATACTTTTTACAGATTAATTTTTATTCATGTATATATGTGTGTGACTGTGCCACAAGTGTGGGAGGTCAGAAGTGGAGCTATAGTTACACAGGGTTGTCAGCTGCCCAACATGTGCTGCAAACTGAATTCAGGTGCATCCTCTCTCTCCAGTCCCCCAGAACAGTTTCTTAATCAGCCAGGACTAAAAAGGCCACTGTTACTTAAAAGGCTTAGATCACTAATAAAATCTAACAATCAAACAAAAACAAGAAAAAACAAAACCTCTATCCAACCACATTCTACTTAATTCATTCACAGATCACGACAGGGCTGTTGCCATTAGCCATGTATGGGCACATGGCCCTATAGAAGCCAGGGTCTGAGTTAATGTCCGTGGCTTCTGTTACCACCGAAGGCTCTGTGGATGTCCAGGGGTCTGGTCAGCCACCTGAGACCATGTTGATGTCCAAGGGCCATGGTGCTATCAAGGGCCATAGTGACATCCAGCTCTGAGCTGCAGCTAAGGGCCATGTCTGGATCAGTAGTCCCACTGCAGCTGGGGTCTGTGCTGATGTTTATGGCCCACATTAGCACAGGGGGGTCACTGGAACCATGTTGTGATGAGCCAGTCCCACTCTTCAGTGGCCCTGGTGTAGCTGGCCCTGCCCTTTGCTGGCTACTGCAGCAGGAGAGTTGGCTACCCAAATGTCCCCTACAGCAATCCAGAGAGAGAGGGCCCTGAGCTTTGCCTGGACAAAACAGTAGAGCTAGACTGGTAGGGGTGACTGGGATCTAAGGACCTGAGAGCAGAAGAACTGACCCTGCTCCTTTCTGCAGGCTGCATTGGGTGAACCGCCTGAGGTAGCACTAGAGAGCTCACCCAGGTAGTGACTGAGGGAAAGTTGATGGGTTGACCAAGCTAGAACCAGGGCTGTGAGTTGGCACCTCATCTATGAACTGTTGGAGCACATAGATGATGAACCTACAGTTCCAAAACGGCAGGGTCTCTACAACAAAGGATATCCAAGAGGAGCCCCAGCATCAGTGGTGTAGCAGAAGCCAGAGCCTTGAGCCAGACCAATGACATCAATGACATGTGTCAGTGAAGACTTGCAAGCAAAGATGAAGGACTAAAGGCCATACTACAGCTTCCAAAAAGAGATTCTTCTGTTGTTGTTGTTTTGTTTATTATGTTTGGTCTTTGGTTTTTCTTTTAAATTTTGTTTTGTTTGAGGGGAAGATTGCAAGAGCAGAAAGAAGATGTGAGGGGATGGAGATGACTGAGATTGGAATTCATGCGAAAGTAACAAAGAATCAATAAAAGAAGGATTTTTAAAAAAAGAATCATATAGAGCAGTTTCTCAACCTGTGGGGTGTGGCCCCCTTTGGGGTCACAAGCAACCATTTCACACGGGTTGCATATCAGATATTCTGTATATCAGATATGATATATAATTCATAACAGCAAAATTACAGTTATGAAGCAGCAATAAAAATAAGTATATTTGTCACTTATATTACAAAGCAAGATGCAAAAAAATTTCCTAAGGGCTTCTTCAGTCAGCAGGTCATAGAGACTAGACAAGCCTGATGAAGCCCACACATGCTATACTTGTCCTAGGCATGAACACACAGCATTAAACAAGCATACGTGACCTGCTCATGTGACGGCTACAAGCACAAAGGACAAAACAAATAAACTAACAGTTTACTTACAGAGAGATCCAGAATGAAAGCAAACCCAACAAGCCTCCCTGTGATGTTGACCTTAGCTGTCAACTTGATGGGCGTTAGAACCTCCTCTGCCTACATCCATGAGAAGAATGTTTCATGGGAGGTTTGGTTAAAGAGGGAAAACCCATTCTCAATGTGTGTGCATCCATGCCATAGACTGATGCCCCATGATGAATAAGCAGGAAAAGACAAGTTGGCAATCAATATTGTATCTCTCTGCTTGGTGACTTTGGATACAATGTGGCTAGGAGGCTCACATTCCTCTGTCCCAATGAGAAAAGACCATACAGCAGGACCAAAGTAAACCCTCCCTTCCTTAACTGTTTTTATCAGGTATTTCTTACAGCAGTAAGAGAAATAGCAGTGTACTTCCTTATGTACTGGGCTCACCCAATGGAGGGTCTGAAAGGACCAGAGAGAAGAGACCTTCATTGTTGTTGTTATTGTTTCCGAGACAGGGTTTCTGTTTTAGCTTTGGAGCCTGTCCTGGAACTCGTTCTGTAGACCAGGTTGGGCTCGAACCCACAGAGATCCTCCTGCCTCTGCTTCCCAAGTGCTGGAATTAAAGGAGTTCACCACCACCACCCAGAGAGAGCAGGGATCTTGAAGACGAGGGAGAGGTATTGGAGCAGCAAT